TTAATACTGGTATGTTGCATTCCAGTGGCAACTCTTACAATTTAAATTAACGATAAGATCACGATTTTATAGAACAATTTTCTTTACTTATTTTTTAATGAAGGTTTTACATTTGATATTCTTACAATTAAAACAAATTACTTTTAGAACTTTTTAGGAATTTCAACTAAGGAACGTTGTATAAAATACTATTATTACTACTTAATGATACAATTAAATAATTAAATCAAATCTGAAAATATCTCAATTGTCAACAGACAAATTGGAAGAGAACGGAATCGAGCCTATCGAAAGCTTATTATCAAAGTTGGGTCTGCCGGGCAAACCACCGCAGAACGCGAGCGAGGACTTCTCGTGGGAGTCTGTGGCGGGGCGCAGCCGCCGCATGCTGGGCCTGAACGTGCTGCTCAGCGTGCAGGTCGCAGAGGATGTCCGCAACACCAGCAGGAACCGCGTCGTGGTCAGTACCACTACATCACTTACCCCAAACGGCCTAACCCAATAGAGTTGGATGAGATTGCGGAATTTCATTAGGCACACGCATAGAAGCATAGACTCTTAATTATTATAAAATTTGATGATTGTAAACGATCGAAAGATTCTAATAGTATTATAAATAGTATAAAGCAATATTTGTATGAAAATTAACCAACTAAAGTAAGTTCATTTTTATGGCTGTGGTAGTCAACTTACGATACTTACATGTGTAATTTTAGAAAAACCCAATTGAACAACAAATGATGCAAACTTACATCGATGGTTACCATTTTTTATATCAGTTTTTACATTTATTTTTTGTGAGAATAAAAACAGTTTAATTAAAATCGGATTAAATTTCATGCTACGTGCAGTGTTTTACAAAACCAAAATAACGTAAGCAGAAGAAGCACGCTTGTAATAAGTTGCTGATATACGAGACTTCACATGAAATCGAGCCATCTCAAATGCAAAAGACTAGTCACGAACTGGAATCTTTAAGCAGACGTCGAGATGTCTCAGTAGATTGTGTTTACCTTAAAGATATCATACGTATACACAAATTAAATTCATTTTATTTAGTTAACATACTCTGACATCCTAAATAAAAAATTATTGATATATTCTTTCTACTAAGCTTACAAATTGATTTGTCAAATTCTACGGTATGGTTTGATACAATGTGGAATTTGTATAACTATAGTTACTGTTTCCATACCTAAGATTGATATAATCTTTCTAGGCGTGCGAAATTATTTCATTTGTTTAATCTTCAATAGTGATTTTTTTAACCAAACCTAATGTTAGACCACCAGTTATTCGTCATCGATTTGGATTTTATCTTTACTTATTGTTGAATTATGACCTAGATATTGATCTATGCCGAAGAATTAAAATATCTATAATTAGGACGGTACGTATTCTGGCGGCAGGTGGAGCAAGTGTCGCCGGGCTTCAGCGAGCGGTACCTGCTGCAGGCGCAGCAGTTCGCGCACGAGCTGGCGCAGTACGAGCAGTACATCCGCGACATGGTCTCCATCGCCGACCCCGAAGCTGATGCCCAGCGCTTTGCTGATGACATTATAGCCTTCAGCAAGAGCCTCGCCAAGGTACAGTATTCTCAGATTTGAAGAAACCAGTCAAAGATTCCTCATATTACGCTCGTAGAGTAAACACTTGGGTTATTTCCCTATCACATTTTTGACTAATAAGCTGCTCACAATCATCGCTATTCCTAATTTATAAAAACCTTAACTCTACTATCTCAGATAATGACGCCAATGGAGGTTCGTCGCAGCGGCACGCACTTGTTCCACGAGGTGAGCCTGTCGCAGCTGCTGCAGGGCACCGCCGGGGGACCGCCGCAGTGGACCCAGGTAATACTAAAACAAATTCCTACACCTAGTTCCATTCAGTCGAGTCCAATCTACTACCAGTGTTAATCATTCATTGCAGCATAATTGGGAGAAATACTTGAAGCTGGTGTTCGCCAACACGAGTGTGACGCTGGACCCCATCACCGATCGCATCATCGTCATGGACCTGCCGTATCTGCAGAAGTTGTCCGTCCTGCTCAATGAAACCGAACCCGTCATAGTTGGCAAGTGGCGTCCTTGAGTTAATATATAAATATAGTTTCGGGTCATCGAATGAACCTTTTCATTATGCAAAGAGGTATCACATCTTAGGGCTCGCAACATCCGATTGTAGCATAAGTCGAAGGAATACTTATTCCTGTTCCTATGCGTTGTGTGATGAATGTTATATATATCAGAGCGGTTCCTGTGGTGGAGCGTGTTCTCTACGGTGGCGCCGATGACGCTGCGCTCGTTCCGGGAGCTCGGATTCCGGTTCTCGCGCGAGGTGTTCGGTCTGCGGCAGCGCACTCCGCGCTGGAAGACCTGCGCCGCCAACGTCAACGCCAACTTCGGCCTCGCCCTCAGCTACGCCTACGTCCGCCTACACTTCCACCCCGAGGCCAGAGAGAAGGTACACATTCACCAGGCTCTATTGCAAGTCTGCTGCCGGCCCATAAATTACCAAATCTCTCGTCCCCTAGGTGACTTATCGCGCCACTCTTCTCGAGCGCCATCGAATTCTATTGAACCTATGACTTGAACTTTTGCGAGAAAATAATATTTGAGGAGACAGAGTACAGATTACACTACAACGCGTACGTTAATTGTAGGCGATAGAGATGGTGGAGGATGTGCGCGCGGCGTTCGCGGATGCGGTGCAGCGGCTGGAGTGGATGGACGCGAGCACGCGCGCGCGCACTCTGCGCAAGCTGCAGGCCATCCGCAACTTCGTCGGCTTCCCCGCCTGGCTGCTGCACACCGACAAGCTCGACAACCACTACAAGCATGTACGCATCTAACTATTACCTTCCACCTGCACAAATGTCCACAGTTTGTTGTCATTGTCGTTGTTGTTGTTGTTGTCGCAGGCGCACGTGATCGAGGACAACCTGTTCGACACTTACCTGAACCTGACGTGGGCCGCAGTCAAGAAATCCTTCGAGTCACTGCGGGAGAAGCCCGACAGGAACAGGTCGCTGCACAAACATCACATAACCTAACTGAACGACTTATTATATTCTATTTGTGTTACAGTATTTTTGTGTGTTTCTCTCAGATGGGTTGCAACAGCTACAACAGTGAACGCGTTCTACTCGGCTACACTTAATTCAGTCAGTAAGTGACAATTTAAATATGTATATGAGAATGAAGTAAAGTTTTATTCGCATAAGTAAAAAAATAAGTTAAATATAGTTTAGTATTGTAGCGAGGGTAAATTTTCAGCGTTCCCGGCGGGCATCCTGCAGCCGCCATTCTACGGCAACGGCATTGAGTAAGTTCGCATACAACTTTTATAAATGCGGAAAGTTTGAATTAATAGATGGATGATCGTTATCATGTACCGGGATTGAAATATGTACATAACTGCAATACAGATACATTACAGCCTCAAATAACGCACAGTCTACTAATAGTTTCTTTTTTTTATTACTTTACGCGGAAGGAGTCGCGGTCGGCAGCTGGAACTAAATCATTTTAAAATTTTCTCCCAGGGCAATAAACTACGGCTCCATCGGTGCAATCATGGGACACGAAGTGACGCACGGCTTCGATGACCAAGGTGAGAATTGCTAAAGGTTCTTCGAGTAGCACTTTGTTTTGTGGTCCGCTCGTGTAATAGTGGAGTGCGACATCGTCAGGTCGACGGTACGACGAGGAGGGCAACCTGAAGCAGTGGTGGTCTGCGGCGACGCTGGAGCACTACCACGCGAAGGTGCAGTGCATCATCGAGCAGTACGGGCGCTACCACATGCCGCAGCTGCCGGAGTACGCGGTGCACGGCTTCAACACGCAGGGAGAGAACATCGCCGACAACGGCGGCCTCCGCGCCGCGCTCAGCGCCTACGCGCGCCACACGCGCCGGCGCGCCGCCTCCACCACCTCCTCCACCTCCGCACTACCCCGCGCGCTGCCCGGACTCCCGCACTACTCTCCCAAACAGCTCTTCTTCCTCGGCTTCGCGCAGGTACTCTCTCATACACACGCTTACTCTGTCGCCTTTAATAGCCTACCATGGCTTCCTTATAAGAAAAGGGTAAAAGTACTAGAACATGTGTCTCCGGCAAAAACACACGCCCTTACTTCTTTTTTCTCTCTTAGTATATTCTATTTGAAAATAGGATAGGAAACATTTTAATAACATGTTCTATGTGATATGTATCAGATCTGGTGCGGCAATTCGACAGTGGGCGCGCTGAAGTCGAAGCTGGTGGAGGGCGTGCACAGCCCCAACAAGATCCGCGTCATCGGCACGCTCAGCAACTCCGAGGAGTTCGCGGAGGCGTGGAGCTGCCCCAAGGGCTCCCCCATGAACCCTGAACACAAGTGCGTGCTCTGGTAACACACCGCATACTGGCCACCACTCAACCAAAGACAATATCATAGAGTTTCGTTAAGTTATTTTTACAGTTACCGACCTAGTTTTAAGATATTGTACTTAATTATATTAACGGTGATTTATTATTTTTAACGACTTAAAATTGTCAAAAGGACTGAAATTCTAGATTTATGTGTGTTCCCAAAATTTGGGTTAAAAAATTGTAAAGTGAAATAGTGATAATTTGATATAACCAACGAAATTGAAAAATCATTGACAGCATATGAGATTATAGAATTAAATTCTGAGCGAAAGAGATGGATGCGTTGATATAAGGTAAGAGTGAGTGAGAGGTCTGTTACTTGATTATTATTGTATGAAGGAAGACATAGATTTTACTGACACTAATTATATGCAATACTTTTTAAGATTCATAATAATGTTATACTTTTAAAAAGCAATTGTGATCATTGTATAGTTCCCAATATCTTGTTGTCTGGAGTAAAACAATACTTTAGTTTTATATTTTACTATTAACTTGATAAAAATCCTTTTTCTCATAAATATATATACTGAATGAAAAACAATTGTACTCTGGACAGCTAAGATTTTAATGTCATATTGTAAAATAAGTGAACAAATTGTATTTTATGTTGTACCTCTATACTATTTATTATGAAATTAAAAATACAAATAACACGGAATAGTTTATTTCTTCCTTATGTATTGAAACTTGTAGACGGGTGCCGACACTTTTGTACCTGGACGTATTCTCTTGGGCTTCAAGATCTTGGCATCATGGAGGTGTCTCTTCAGTTCCATCTTCTGTTGTACAACTGTCAGCTGTTTCTCCCGCTCTATCCTCTTTGACAGCTCCTTATATGCCTTTAGTTTTGCTTTTGTTGATTCTTTTACAACCTGTATGGAGATTTTATTAATATTAATTTTTTATCCTTTATTAATAAGTAACCTATGTGTTCTTCCCGACTATGTTCTACATGTATGCCAAATTTCAGCAAGATCCATGCAGCCATTCCACAGATACCTGTGTTAATGATGTAACATCTAATACCTTCTTTAAATGAAAATTGCTTACCTGTTCATCAACTGATGGCAATGTAATCTTGTTCAAATCCGATAGTCTGGGGCGGTTGGACTTTCTGTTTATAAGTGAGGGATGAGTGTCCAGTCTCTTGGCCAAGTCAAAGTTCTTCTCCTCTCCTTCATCCACAAAGAATATGTGAGTGTTGCGTGTTGCATCCACTACATCTGTCATGTGCAAGTGAGACTGAAAATAATGATTATTAGTATAAATCAATATTTTATTAAATTATTTATTTGAAAAACTACCAATAAGTTGTCTAGTAATTACATTTAAAGACATTTTTTCTGCTGTAGGATATTCAATTCTAAGGGGGAAGGAAATATAATTTTTTGAACACAAAATGTCCTATTAACCTGCAGCCTTTCGATGCGTCGGCTCTCCATGGTGCGCTTCATATTGATGTACTTTATGTCCTGTGTCTGCATCAGTTTGATCTGCTCCACGCTGTGCTCTTCCTCCTTCTCCAGCTCATGGTGCTCCTGAATACAATGAATGAATATCACAAGAATTTCCCATGACTTTTCAGATGTTGGTTAAGCAATGGACTTGTACAGCCCGGAGATAATGTTAGGAGGTTCCAAAAAGTTATAATGTTGTATGTTTTCATATAACACAAATTTAGGTAGGTCCTATATTCTATTATGGTGATTCTACTTACCCCATCCTTGACTCTTGAATTAACCATATGAAAGTAGAATTCATCTGGATTCTTGTCCAACGTACGCTTGCGTAACAGTTTAAGTGTCTCGCCCTTCTCATGATAATCTTCAGCACGCTTTTTGTAATCTTTTTTCTTCTCTAATAATCCCAAATGTTTTCTAGAATCAGGCTGATGTCGTTCCTTGTGCGTTTTTTGGTTAGCCTTTGCGGCCTTTTTCCATGAAGACATATTGATTTAATTTAACACGTTAAATCTAATAACAAAAATTGTAACTATATGGTATTTAAAATTTAAATATGAGTATTAGAAGATTGGATACAAAACGCTATAAACACCGAATAACTTCACACGTTTTGATGACATTTACTTGACTCGACACGACACTGACATTGACATAATCTCAACCAATTACAGCTTTTGTTAACGAATTTAGTTTGAAGATATTCTGTTAAACGCAGATACAATATTGTTTAAAGTCGTCTGGTATAAATAAATGTGGAAGTTTTCTCACAAAAAATATACCAAAGAACTTTTAAACGTATGAAGAAAGGGATAGGTTAACAAAAATATGACTCAAAATTAAATTAAGTAAATTAATTGGGATCACCTGGGATCGTCCAGTGACGGTACCGACTAGTTTCTAACTCGTCGGAGTTCCATCATCAGAGCGAGTGTTTATTATGGGTTTTTCGTGATCACATCACCATTCGCACTAATTCAGCCCTAATTAACTTATTGTAATATCTCACGAAAGTTTAATTCAAAAATAGTATATTCAACAACATGTGGCGATCTCAATTTGGGCTTATTTCGTTCCAAATAGAAGTTGCTGTGCGCCTGTTACTAAGTAACGCGTTATTTAATTCATAGTTAGTGGTGTTTACAATAGGAATAAATGGTTTCAAAATTAATATAAACCATAGCCTCAAATAGTTACTACCTCGAAGCGTCGATAAAAGATAGACATTTATGATATTATGACAATTAAACCGAGCGCTAATTATCGTCGGGTACAAATCACCCCGCTAGCCCTCCCCCGGTGACAATAGATTGTCTGATAGCGATTCCAAATTGCTAACTCAATGTCATCATTAGCTGATACTCATCGATAGACATGTCACCAGCTGTAGCATTGAATTGTCTCTTTTGAATAATCTGCCCACATCACCTTGGCTTTATTACTTTGCCTGTATCTGATCATATTTTGTTGTACAATGATCATGTTCAAATGTATTATATGTAGTCCACTGCACCTCGTTAAATAAGGTCATTTTATATGGCTAGTACTTTATTCTAATAAGTTACAAATCTTGGATGAGAGAAGTCGTTAAATCTTCTCAGTTAACAACCGGTTTAGCTAATACATTTTTAGAGCATTTACAGCATTTTTAAAGCAATTTTTACTTAATTACACCTTTGTTGATGGTTGGCGCTAAAGGTCAGCGGTCATTAAGAGTTGACAGCACGCTAATTACAGGTGACACGATGGCAGAAACATGTTGCTGACGGTGTTAATAGTTCTGACTATCTAGATCAAGTATCAGTATATTGCCAAACTTAAAATGATTCTCGAGTTCATCCGCACTACAGACAAAGTGAGTGGTCTGTACAGACCTGGTCATGACAAAGCCTTCGACGTGGGTGGTGACGGTGCGTCATTTCTACAAAACCACGACATTACACGGCTTCAAATATTTAGGTTCGAAATTCTTTTCAGATCGGTTGGTATCATTTTTATTTGCAGATTTATACTTTAAAACTATAGACTATAGACGAATCGTACCGATCTTGGTAACCGGCAGAGTGGGATGGTTGTTGTGCTGCTTCGCGAGCGCGTGCTGCGCGGGCGTGCTGTGCGCCGTGCTGTGGGCTCGCTTTACGCAGGTGCCGGCTCTGATTACGCTGCGCGACATGCTCGCCGAGCCCCGGGTGCTACGCCTCTCCAACATCGCGTTCTGCCCCGCTGCCGGCAACATCGCTTACCTGTTTCAACAAAACTTGTATGTAATGAATAAATCATAAAATGGAGACAAGACAATCAAGCAAAAGATGTTAGTTCAAAGACATAATATACATCAGAGTTACAGACAACGTAACACGGGCGCGACTGCCGGCGATCCTGTCATTGGTGCTGCGCAGGAAGCCCCTGACTGACAGCCAGGCGGAGTTGCTAGAGGGTGCGCTGAGCGTCAACAACCTGACGCTGGTGGGGGCGTTAACGCGGCTGATGCCGCCGTGCTCCCGCATCATAAGGAACTGTCGCTGGCTGACGATGACATTGCCCTGCGGCGACATCTTCCAGCAGGAGCTGACACAGTGGGGCCTCTGCTGTGTCATGCGCCCTAACGAGTTCGTATTGCTTGCTATTCATTGCTTGTACCAGCGATAGCTTTAACTATTATATAATAATATTATAATACTTAAGTAATGTCATAGAATCCAACTGTCATCAATTTTAACGACCCGCTTCACAACTTCGCGGCGGCTGCTCACCGGCATGCAGTTCTCTGACCACAGCCGCGTCTATGGCTGCGAGGTGAACACTGCTTTTATACTCGTATTATAACGGCATTCAATACATAAATATTGTTGCTGTAATTCACTCAGTTTATTCAGAGAATAACTTGAATTCTTAGTTTTTTACAAAATACCCGGGCGAGGAGTGGGTGGAGCCAGTTCCCCTGACTCCGGGCTACAACTACATGGGCTCGCTGACGTCCACCTCTATAGTGGACAGCGACGCGGACAAGCTCGTCAACAACCGCTGCGTCTACAGGGACCGCTACACCATGAGCAACTGCATGGTACATGTTTATGACCTCATGTTGTCGGTATCTATGTTGCGACTTTCGACGGTGTTTCCACTCAGTTTTTGTTTAGCTACGAAATTGTTATTGATAAAACCTGATAGTAATAATGTTGCAGATAAAATGCAAAGAGAAGTTGTGCGGCTGCGCTGACCCTCTGCAAACCAACGAGGACAACGAAACGAGCGGCCTACCCACCTGCTCCATAACAAACCTCAACTGCTTGCGGACTTACAAGAATGGTATGCGACTTAAGACTTAAGTTCATTGTCGAACTTACTAGAATTTGACTATAAATATATCCTTGTCAGTTATGACTTTTGAGGGGTTTTTCCTGAACATTGTGGGAATAATGAGTGTCTTTTCCTTCAACTGTATTTAAATTATTTTCAGGACTATTACCTCAATTAATAATGGTTGTATTATCTCTATTACAATTAGTTATTAAGCTAAGCTAAGAGACTGCACTGATATCTCTTCTTACCTTAATGTTTCAATGTGTACGAGTGATGTGTGACCTTTTGTGTTTCAGATAATTTAAGTTGCAACTGCCTGCCGTCCTGCAGAAGAGTATCAACGGACTTATCCCTTGAATTCAGTCCCATGAATGCCTTCGAACACGCTTTCGACAACATTTAGTTAGTAATTTTACCCATTCTTCAGAGGCTCTATATTATGTATATTGCGATAATTTATGAATCATGAATTTTTTATTTCAAAATAGACAATATCAGATGTGAATTAATAACTTCTTGAAACGAAATATTATATCTTTCAAAACTGTAGTTGTCTTACAGTTCGGGTCTAAACGCAAGCCAGGCGGTGGTGCTCAGCCTACACATCAAGATCACCGACTCCAAGAAATTCGTCGTCAACCCAACAGAGACTTGGATCACTTTGTTATGTATGTATGGTACATTATAAAGCGCAAATAGCTAAATGATTAAGAGTAAATCCATTTGGTCGCGGGTTCGAATCTCATCTATCCATTTATGTAGCGTACCATATTTTTTTACAAAACAAACTAATGATCGTGTCTCTAGATACGAGGAAAATAAAAACAATATAATATTTTTGTTTCTTAAACTTTTCAGCTATGTTTAGTGATATTGTGTTTACATGTATGTATGTAAGATTTTATGGTAGCGTCTCTCGGTGGCGTGTTCAACATGTTCCTGGGTGTGGGCTTGTTCAGCGCGCTGGAGCTGCTCTTCCTCATCTTTGTCAAGTTGCCGATAGCTTTGAGGAAATCCAAGGAGTTGCCACCACTAAAATAAACTGAAATCTCTTTGAAGACAGAGATAAATATACATACGTATGTTTCGCTTGTAGAAATTTGAGGTTATGTATACTTTTGTGGCGACGAAATTTTTAGAATCAGGTTAATTTAAATAAAAAGCTTATTTCCTTTTAAATCATTTTATTACGACATCAATGGATACATAAACAAACATTTAATAACATTTAGAAAACATTTATTATTAAAAGTAAGTTTAAATCTTACTTTTGTTGGATAAGTATTTTTTACTTTTAATTTTTTTTTTTACGTTTCGAAAGATTTCACTAAATGAGTACATACACTTACATTTTTTTTACTTTATAAAGTACTTATCAGAATACATTTATCGTTTTGGTAATTTGAATTTTTAATATATTTTCATACCGGCAGGAATGTTTGAAATTAAAACTAACAATATGGAACTTTTTCCTTGATAATCAATTTGAATATAAAAAATCTTAGTGTTAAAAAGTAGATAGCGATCGTATCCAATAGAGCCTCAGTCAGACGTGTCTTTGTTTTTTTTTTTAATTAAGGCTAGTTTACATAACGTATAATAAACATACAATAGTCATAGTGATATAATTAGAAGGCCATTACAATATTTCCATTTTTCGAGTAGAAAATCCTCGTAATTAAGTTAAATTGTACATCATATAAAAGATTCATACATTGATAATTTGAAATAAAACATTTAGAAGTTCACATATGATTTTTTTTTAAATACATAAAAAGTTACATTGATAAATGTAGTACCTAATACATAGACGCAAACATTTATATAATAATTATTTTATAAAAAAAACAACATTCATTGTATGTACAAAGCGGTTACACAGCCATTCAGAACATTATATATTCTAATCACGACATACACTCACGCGCTTCTATACAAAGGTAATAGACAGGGACAATCTAACAAATCTAGTAAAAAGTAAATGCGAAGTAACGCATTGCATGAAATATTACTAAACTTAATCGACCATAGGCCATAGAATGATTCAAACGTTCATTTGACATTTTAATAAACTAATTAAATGAACACTACACAGACCATAGACCCAATTTTCCCGCAGAAGGGACGGTCTCTATGGAACTAATCTGTCAAATTTGCGCGGGAGAGCGCGGAACAATGGCGGAAATCTTTTGCGACGCAAACAAATGTCAACAAGTTTACAATACCTAATAATATTGCTATGAAGAGTAAATTTTTGAAAAAGAAAATACGATTATCAAAATACCTTATAACCTAAAATTATCGAGTTTTTTTTTATAGTACAAAGTTGTTCTAAAAATAGAAGGAATTGATATTCAGTACCAGTATCAAATACATAAATTAAAAAAAGATTCTTAAATAATACATATACTATTATACATATAGAGAGGTAGTGTATAATGAGATAAATGCTTTGTCCAGCTGACGTAGCTTACACATACATTTTGTATATTTGTACTCAAGCAGAAATACATTCAACATGAACAACATCCATTTATGAATAACTCGCTGAGCACAATCCTACACTAAGTATAATTTAATCATTAAAATAACATTGAGATGCAAAGATATCAATCAATCATTACATATGTCCTTATCCTCAATGTTAACATTCATTTCAACGTTGAACAACATTCATAAAAAAAAAGTTTATGATTATTTTTTATATTAATAATATATCAACATAAATGGGAAAATAAACTGATTTTTAACATCCCATTATAATATTTGATGGATATAAACAGATTATTACTAACTGAACTGAATAAGTTAATTATAATCATGTATTTAAAAAAAAACTATAATAAGACATTCAGTCCATAGTGACTAGAGTGAAGTTAGGCGCTATCAACCTGCAAAGGTATTTAATAAAAAAAACACTTTTCTTAATTATTTTTTCATACTTTTGCAACAAGTTTCAAATGTATCTGCATATTTCAAACACAAAGTTTAACACTGATTGCTATTGACAGCTAACTTCACCGTAGTGGTTACCATAGAGCGAAGTTTACTCCGGCGGGTACGCCAGGACGAACATGCTTCAGGAATCCCGCTGGCGCGCCGGCAGCACGTCCAGCATGCAGAAGACGGCGCGGCACACCGGGCAGGAGCCGCGCGCCGCCAGCCACGCACTGCTGGGAGCGCCCGCGCCTAGTGCAGCCCCCGCCCGCGCCGCCCACCACCGCGCCATGCACGCGCAGCACCACAGCACCCTGTGTCACACACATTACAGACCTCCGGGGCCAAGTGCAGCCCTAACTCTGCCCAGGACAAAAATTTTTGTTGGCAGTTGTGGCTACTTTCCTTGAAGTATAATGTATTTACTATACATACATTATCCGGCTCAAAAAACTATTCAGTTGGACTAATTGTATAAGAAACAATTATATGTAAATATTTGATATATGCGAGTATGGAGCGGTACGGCCTACCTGCAGTTGCACTGCTGGCAGGGCGGCGGTGCGATGCCGGCGAGCGGAGCGGGCACGGGCTCGCAGCGCCGGTCCAGTTTCACGTCCGCCATGTTCTGCATGCATCCGATGCACTGCTCCAGTTCCTAAAAAAGAGCTTTCTAATAAATATGCATCTCACACTTATTTATTGCTTGGTCTTTAAAATTCCATATTGAGTATTCAACACATGTATATATGTCCATATTAAAATGATTATAGTTTTATTTATCAATAGTATACCTGATCAACATAGTAGGTGGGGTTCTGGTCGACATAGTGTTTGAACAGTGTGACAAATCTCTCCACCACTGTGGGAAGTAATGAGATATGGTCGGGTACACGAACGGGCCGTGGCAGGCGGGGTTGTAGCTCGCGTAGCGCAGTTGTCGTCAGTCGGAAAGAGAAAGGCTCCACATCAGGCCGATACGGGATCACTTCTATGTTAACATATTGCACCTCCTCCTCACCAGTGGGAGTCAGCGTGTGGTTATCAGTCTAAGTATAATAGATAAAGTAAGAACTGATGCCTATAGAATTATTAAAACTTTTGAAATTTTAATTACAACTTACAGCTGTAGCAAATAATGAACAGTCTTCATGATGCACAGCATTCATGCCATATTGAGTAACTCTAATGAGCCAAGTATCGGTGGCCACCAACTTGCTAGTGGCAGTCAGTGGGAGGCACACTTTGTCCACACTGCAAGAGAAAATCTTGATGTTTAAACTATGTAGGTACCTACTTTAAATGTTTATTGCTTTCGGATAAATTATGATCAGTGAAAAATGTTTATGTATAAAAGAATATTACCTGCGAAAAGCAATATTGATGTTATTAGCGACCACACGCCAATCGCAGCCCTGCGGAACGTAACATAAAAGAGGCCGTACGACAGGATGCTTCAGTTTTTCGTATTCCCACCAGCAAACGAGCTTATAGCACATTAGCAACACTATGATAACTGTGGAGATCGCAGACGCCATCATCCACGACCCTCGCTCACCGCCGCACCACAGAGTGAACACATATCCCATCGGCAAACAAGAATGAATAAAAGCCGTAATTGTTATTCTCTTCATTTGATATCCGATAAAGTTCATGTTTTCGGAACCTAAAAGTCCCTCGAAGATCTGAGGAATAGTAAACCCAGCGGCCACGAACTCAGTGGGTGGATAAATAACGCAAAATGAAAATAGCAAATAGAATAATGTGAGAAGTATATCCATTGCGAAAGACATTCAAATTTCAAAGGATTTTATTATTTTTTTATATTCGGTATCACGCACAAGAAGAACTTAAAGCATAGCAGAAGCTGCTTCGTTTTCCTCCTTATTCTTATCAAAACTAAATGAAGCACAATATCAATATCTAATCAAAACTGCTTATCAATGACACAATGACAATTGACAATATTTTTTTAAACGATGTTATGGTCCGGTAACTAGACTTTTAAGACAAGATTAACAAATGAAAATAGCACCAAAGAGCCAGACTAAACGACGTTTGACAGTGACAGTAACGAAAACCCTTGTGCCCATTGCGCCTTGCGCAGTCCAGCTCCTCCCTGGCCAAACCAAACCTATACCCTGAAAATGAATCAATAAAAGGAAACAAGTGGAACCTGAATAGCTTTAATAAAGCATAAAAATAGAAAACAATTTTCCATTTCAGACACAGTAAAAGTAACACAGAATGCAGGATTTTTTTCTATGTTTAAAAAATTTACACCGATATAATATGACTAGGAAAATGTATATTATACTTTAAAATAAAATGGGGTCTATGCATTATTAAGTTTTGCTCTACTATAATATTGAAAAAATTGCAAACAATTTTAATATTTGATGTGTGAAATAATGAACGAACGGTGACCTGTCAATTAAATTGTCATTGTCAATTTGTCAAAGTGAAATGTGGATGTGGACACGTATTAATCAAAATTGTTTGATTTATTTTTAAAATTACTTGAATAGTTTGGTTTATATTGCATGGCATAGAATTGATTTAAATCATTTAAGTTTAATAGTGGCAGATATTTTTCGCAAAAGGCTTTCTATTATCCAGGTAAATTTTGTACAAAAATACTGGTACTCATATTAAAAGTTGTTAATTTTGGTTTTTTGTAATTGAAAATGGAAACAACGTTACTGGATACGAATATACAGTTTATAAGATCGAAATAATAAATTACCGGCGTGTTATATGCATTTGAAAATCATAAAACGATTATTCAACATCCCCATTGATTCATACATTCCGAGGCTATAATACGCTACCATAACATATTTCAGTCATTATTGTTATTTCGTTAACAACGTTTTAATTTCTTAACACCATAATGTGTTGTGCATTTCAGCAATATGGCAGGTGTGGAACAACCCTGCTACACCCTCATCAACTTCCCCACGGACACGGAGCCTCACAATGACATGCAACTTAAGCTAGATCTAGGTAACATTAGTGTTATATTACCTTAGTTAATTCCTTATATTATTTTTAAAAAAGTCACATTAGGTGAGCATTGTCTTATTTATTGCCTGTTACATTATAGAAAAAGGAGATATAAAGAAAAAGATTGAAGCATTAAAGAAGACTATTGGTATTATTCTCTCTGGTGAAAAGATTCCTGGTCTTCTGATGATAATCATCAGATTTGTGTTGCCATTGCAAGATCACACAATAAAGAAACTCCTACTGATATTTTGGGAGATTGTTCCCAAGACAACATCTGATGGAAAACTCCTACAAGAAATGATTCTTGTTTGTGATGCTTACAGGAAGGTTAGTTTCACCTTTACAACTCTTATGCTATTCACATCATTCTGTTTGTAAAGACTATTACTTCTCTATTCTATGGTCATTTTAGAGATGTATGATTTTGTGGTCAGGACTTGCAACACCCGAATGAGTTCATCCGTGGCTCAACATTGCGGTTCCTGTGCAAATTGAAGGAGCCAGAGCTGCTGGAGCCACTGATGCCTGCCATCCGTGCCTGCCTTGAGCACCGTCACTCCTATGTGCGCCGCAATGCAGTGCTCGCTATATTCACTATCTATAGGTATTCACTATTCTATTGCTATCATCAATTATTAATTTTGCTGGAATTCAAACTTAAATATTTTATAGAAATTTCGAGTTCCTGATCCCGGACGCACCAGAGCTGGTGGCAAATTTCCTAGAGAATGAGCAGGACATGTCGTGCAAGCGCAACGCTTTCCTGATGCTGCTGCACGCCGACCAGGAGCGCGCGCTCACCTACCTCGCCGCGCGCCTCGACAACGTGCACGGCTTCGGTGATATCCTGCAGCTCGTCATCGTCGAGCTAATCTACAAGGTCCTACATCTACCTCATCTGCCTCATTCCATGTGTAACAATGTGTACAACGAGAGTTGTTGTGCGTCAGGTGTGCCACGTGAACCCGTCCGAGCGGTCGCGCTTCATCCGCACAGTGTACGAGCTGCTGAACGCTGCGAGCGCCGCCGTGCGCTACGAGGCGGCCGGCACGCTCGTCACGCTCTCCAACGCCCCCGCCGCCATCAAGGTGAGCGCCGAAACGCCCCCCTCCACACAGACACGCCCCCCGACACGCCCTCAGACACGACCACTGACACACGCTTGTCGCAGGCGGCCGCGTCCTGCTACATCGACCTGATAGTGAAGGAGAGCGACAACAACGTGAAGTTGATCGTGGTGGGGCGGCTGAGCGAGCTGCGCGCGCAGGGCGGCGAGGCGGCGGCGCGCGCGCTGCCGGACCTCGCCATGGACGTGCTGCGCGTGCTCGCCGCCTCGGACCTCGACGTGCGCCGGCACACGCTGCAGCTAGGTGATACATCTGTCCCTCACCACTGGGACATCGCACTCGGGGTGTGGCGAGTGACTAGACATGTTTTTTGTGTCCGCCAGCGCTGGAGCTGGTGAGCCCGCAGCACGCGGAGGAGCTGGTGTCGGTGCTGCGCAAGGAGGCGGTGCGCGCGCAGGCAGCCGACCACGACGACGCCGCCAAGTACCGCCAGCTGCTCGTGCGCGCCATGCACCGCGCCGCCATCAAGGTACCGCATGCACTTTGTTGTTGAGTTCAGACATAAACAAATATGTAGAGAAGGTATATTAATTAGACATTATGTGTTGCGTGATGTCAGTTCCCCGAGGTGGCGGGCAGCGTGGCGCCGGCGCTGCTGGAGCTGGTGGGCGACGGTAGCGAGCTGGCCGCGCACGACGTGATGCTGTTCCTGCGCGCCGCGCTGCACACCTACCCCGACCTCAGAGAACTCATATACAAGGTAACATCCAGTTGTAGTAAGCACGCAGTCTTGTCTTTCTTTATATCTATGTGTACATTAACGTGTGGTGCGGTTTGCAGAAACTGCTGGAGTGTATAACCAGCATCAAGGTGGGCAGGATCGCGCGCTGCGCGCTCTGGCTGGTGGCGGAGTTCGCGGACAGCGAGCAGCGCGTGCAGGCCGCGCTCGACGTGCTCGCCGAGGTCATACCCACGCCCGCCTCCGATCAACCTAACAAGGTATTGATATACCGCTCACAAAACTACATATAAATTAATTTATCATTGTTTCACATTGTAATATAATATGTTTGACTTTAACAGGAGGAGGAGGAGAAGAGCGAGGAGCAGAAGCCGGAGGCGCCGGCGCGGCAGCTGGTGACCAGCGACGGCACGTACGCCACGCAGTCCGCCTTCAACCTGCCCACGTCAGTACACACACCACTTGTTCATCCAACACACTTTTCTTATGAGGATGGAGGCGGGAACGCACAGGATGGTGAAGTATCCTTTTTTTGTGCGTCCCTTCCTCCGTCGACTGATAGGAGATGTCTATGGCCAGAGGTCGTTTCGCCATTTTGACGAATTAAGGCGGGCAGTCGTTAATTTTCCACCGTATGATATAAAAATGCGTCGCCTGTGTCCAGCAGGGAGGGCGCAGAGCGCGGTGTGAAGGGCAGCGGTCTGGGCGCGGCGCTGCGGGAGGGCGACAGCTTCACGGTGGCGTGCGCGTGCTCCGCCCTCGCCAAGCTGGGCCTGCGCCTGCCTCCGCCCCGAGCAGCACGCGCCCTGCACCTCTCCGCCGCACTCCTCGCACACCACAAGCTGCACCCTGGTAACACTGCGCTCATATACCAACGTCCAACAAACCTAAATATTACCTTCCATTTCAGTGTCGGTTGATGTGTTCATTTGATGTTCTAGTTATACCTTAGCGAGACTTGATGATTATGTGTATGGATATTGTAATAAGTTTGTCTGTGTGTACGTGTGTACGTGTGCACGTGTGCAGGCAGCAACGGGTCTCGTCTGACGGCGGACGACGTGGAGCACTCGGCGCTGTGCCTGGTGGCTGGCGGGGCGCAGCCCGAGGCGGTGCGCGAGGCGCTGCTGCACGGCACCAGGCGCGCCCTCCACGCCCTGCTCGCCCTCCCCGACCGCGCCGCCGCCACCCTGCTGCCGCACGCAGAGGTACACCCTCACACCCTTACCTTACGACTTCTCAAAACTTCTCACAACGTTTCACAGTTAATCAGTTTTAAAATATGTGCGGTGTGTATGTGTACGTGTGCAGGAGCGTCCGCCGGCTGTGAAGGCGAAGGTGCCAGTGGAGGCGGGCATCGTGTTCCCCGCGCTGGCGGGCGCCGCCGCGCACGCGCACCACGACATCTTCCAGATATCGCTCTCCAAAGCTGTGCAGGGTACGCGCTCGCTCCCTTATTACATTCTGTATTACATTCATAAATCTGTGTCACTGTAACTGTGAGTAAATGTGTTTGTGTTGTTGCGCAGGTCGCGTGGGCGGCGGGGGAGGGGGAGGGGGCGGCGAGGAGGGGCGGCTGTCGCGCGTGACTCAACTGACGGGCTTCTCTGACCCGGTGTACGCGGAGGCCATCGTCGCCGTCAATCAGTACGACATCGTGCTCGACGTCCTCGTCGTCAACCAGACCGGTACGTGAGCACCGCTCGGTAGCAGCCGCCAGCCGGAGATGCGGCCATACTGAATGCGTCTTGTTGTGTGCAGACGACACGCTGCAGAACTGCTGCGTGGAGCTGGCCACGCTGGGCGAGCTGCGTCTGGTGGAGCGCCCCGCGCCCGTCGTGCTGGCGCCTCGGGACTTCGCCTCCATCCGCGCCCACGTCAAGGTCGCCTCCACTGAGAACGGCATCATATTCGGCAACATCGGTACGTTATTCTCATCTAATAACATGTTAAACACGTGAATATTATTTACTCTCAAATGTTTGATATGATATGTGTCATTGTATCAGTGTACGAGGTGTCCGGAGCGTCGATGGACCGCGGCGTGGTGGTGCTCAACGACATCCACATAGACATAGTGGACTACATCCAGCCCGCCCTCTGCAGCGACGCGGACTTCCGTCAGATGTGGGCGGAGTTCGA